TGCTATGGAAAATGGGTCACTTCTAGCAATGGAGCCTCCTACTGTGATGAGCAGGGTCCCTTTTTTTTTTTTTTTTTGCAGCAGCAGGGTGGAATTGACAGAGAAGTTAGGAAAGCCTGGGATATGATGGCTGAAATGGGCTAGTGTGAGGCTTCTGAAAACCCCTACTAAGATTTTATTCCATTTTTTTTTTAAATTAACTAAAAAAATCCATGCCAAATAGAATATGTGGTAGGCTTAGTCCTTGAAACTATGATATTTTTAAATACAAAACATTTTCCATCAGAAAAGAGAACCTAAGTGTCCACTCTCCGAAGTCCTTGTGCTGAGTTCATTCAAAGAGCAAGTGATCATTTAGCCAAGAGATTTGACCAAGCTCACCTTTTTTTGGATGCCCTTCCCTTAAAATTGCATAGGTTTTGAGCACCTGTTAGTACTCAGCTGAGTAGGTAAGATTTGTTTAACATACAAGGTTGTTTTTGTATCTGAGACCTTTATATCAAGGTTCTCATGACTCTGGAATCTGAACATCTCACCATATTTCTATGCTTTGGTGGCTATTATGCATATATATGCCAGAAAATGATTGCAGAACTGTTCCAGTTAGATTGGACTTTCTGAATGGAAAAGCCTGAAATAATATGCTTTAACTTCTAATTTATTTATTCTTTTAAAAAGCAGATGCTTAATAAAAGCAAAATATGAATATTTTATATACAAATGGGTTGAATTAATTTTGTAGCTAAGCTTGCTCACCAAGCAAAGAAATATTTTGCCATAAATTAAAAAAAAACACATGGTGTTTGGCTAAAGTAAATATTACCAAAGTGATGTGAAAGGGTTTATAAATACCCCTTACCTTAAAAAAAAAAAAAAAAAGTTTATGGATATTTTATGAGCACATGATTTTTGTAGTGGACTCAAAGTAATTGTGAAGCTTGTTTTGTTGTGAATGGTATCGAGTCATTGTCAATTCTAGTGTCAGACACTGGACCTGTTTTCAGTTTTGGACAGGTTGCTGTTGAAGAGCTGGATGCTGTTCCTCAGTTTCAGTACTAGCAGCTGATAGACCTCTGCATCAAATTGAACCACTACTGGCAATATTGAAGCTTTAGGGGCTTTAGAGATGTTATGTACTTAAAAGAGAAAAAAACTGAAGTATGTTCATCAAGTGCTTTGTTCATTTATGTTCTGCTGCTGGTGCAGAAGTCACTGGAGTAATTCTTCAGGCCATGAGGGTTGTCTGGGGCTGTCACTTCTCTCTGTGTCCTAGAATATCCAACCCCAGGTGCCTAGAGAAGGGGAGGATAAATTCAGCCACTGTCCAGATGGAGACACTGGTTCCAGGTTAGAACACAGTCTTTGAATTTGCTGACTGATAGAGTGTAATCTTTTGTAAATAATTGCATAGAATTTCATGTGGGATCCTCTGTGCTCCAGCAGAAGTCTAGCTTTCAAGAAGAAAATTTTCACCTCTGCTTGCCAGGTACTTAGGCTTTAAAAATTGAGTCAGCAATATCTGTCAGTAACAAACTTAGTGGTTTCATCCACGTATGAAGAGCCACATCACTGAAAGCTGTATATGTCTGCAGTTAATTTCCTAAGAGATCCTAACAAGGTAAATGAAAACCTTCCTGGTGAAGATGTTGCTGTATGTCTTCAGAGATATCCAAGGCATCAGCTGCTGAGAGTGTGCTGTCCAGGAATGCTCTGGCTGCTTTCAGGTATATGCACCTAAAGGCTTGTCCTCTTGCCTGGGAATCTGAGGAGCAGGAGCCCTGGAAAGGAAAGCAGCTGCACCACAACCACAAAAGCAGAACTCTGCTCCCTGTAATGCTGACCCAAGAGGAGTTTTCCTACACTGTGGTGTAACTTATTGTCAGGAATACCTTGAGTATCATCTAGTCCAGAACATAAGATGTCTTCTGAAGATATGTTTGCAAGCAAACACATGTTTGTGGACCATTTCACAGCTGAAAAAGCTGGAAACTCCTTCTCTTAGGTAAGGCTGCTATTGCACAATAGGAATCTCTCCAGGAGCAACTTGTGCCCATCACCCCTTGTCTTTTCCACGTGACTCCTTGTAAACAGGGAGTCTCCATCTTCTTGGTAGCCACCCTTTAAGTACTGGAACAATTAATCTTCTTTGTAATTAAGTAATTTAAATTTTACACTGTTCATTTAAATATGTGTTGTGTTTAGTAACTTGTTTATAGAGGCATTTTGTCAGTCTGAAAAGGCCTTTTTTTAAATCCTAGGATATGGGGTGGAGTGAAGAAGAGAGGACAGCACTTGGTGTGTCAAGATGCATATAAAATAAGCTACAAAACCCATGAACTGTAATGGAAGGAAAAATATTATGTAAATCTATTTATCTATAATCCAGGTGGATTATGCTTTCATGATAACTAGCAAATCATTCAGAACCCAGGTCAGGGAGGTAATGGTGGATATGAACTACACAACTGTTGAGAAAACAAGTGTATTTTCCAGTGTTTTAATCATTTTCCAAATTTTTTTAGTATATTTGCTGTAGAAAACTTGCTACATAAAGCAGAGGAGCCAGATTTAGGAGAGAGAGTGTGACTTAAAATGGTGAAGTTACTGAAAACATGGAAATTGAGGAAAGTTTGGGTAAATGTGGCTTAGGTGAGACTTTATGGTCCTTAGTAACAAAAGGAGGGAAGAATGTTAAAGTAAAAACAATGGATTTTGTGAAAGAAGGCTACAGTAAATACAGAACTGGTAGATAAGATCTCTCTAGTCAAGCCTCAAGGGGACAAGGAATTAAGGAGAAGTGATGCTTTGTCAGAGATAATAGTAAAGCACAAACAATGCAAATGCAGAGATTAAGACTTCAATTAAACTGTAAATTCTCCATTGACCTCCGAGACTTTCTCAGTTTGCTGAGGAAGAGAATAAAAGATTGTATGAGAAAGGGACAGAGTTAGGTCGGGAGCAGGGGATGGGGACACCCAGATGAACTGCATTTCATTTCTAAGCAGGAGACATAATAAGCACATGCACACACATCCAAAAATGTTCTGTCACACAGTGAAAAAGAGCCAACTAAAGTGATTATCATCTCTAAGTCTTTCCTCCAATGACAAGAAAAAAGATCCTGAGATTCTAAAGCTTTTAATCGACTTTTGTGCAAGTTTTTGCTAAGAAGACTCAGCTCTGTGTAGGTGACTAGCACAGGACTTATGCCAGAACAGCAATCTGCCATCTGGCTGTGTCTGCAAAGTAGTTGTTTCTGAAAATTAAATAATATTATGAAATGTAAAAGAAAAAAATTAAATCACCAACTCTGTGGCAATTTCTGGAATAACTTAGGTAGATTTTACCTTGAAAGTCTTAAATAAATGTACCTGGGAGTCACTTCAATCTAAAAAATATTTAGATTTTCTCTTTACTTCTCAGTGTGAAAACTTGGTTTCTGAAATCTTTTCTTTTGCATTTTATGCTGTTACCAACCTGACTGGTTTTAGGCCAATAAATACATGCTATGGTTGGAAATACCAGAAGCCTATTTCTAAATTACATGCTGCACCTTCTGACCTGTCTGCAATAAAACCAGAAACCAGCAGTTGCTTATGCTTAATTTAGGGTGATAATGTCATTTAGAGAATCAAGCTTAATATATTTAATCAAGAATTTGTACAGAATATGGTACCGTATGCAGGTAACATGTAAATTATTTTAGGCAAATGTAACTGTCTGCTTCTGCAGGAAGAATTATTGCTACAGTCAACAGTATATTCAAGGGAGATTCTTCCTAATATAATTTAGTCTGTGCTGCCATAGATACCTGGTTATAACACAGACTTCTTCAGGCAGCTGTCAAATCATTTTGGTTACCAAACAAGTAAGATTTTATCTATCTTTAGAAAATAGGAATTATGCTACAGCTGGGATGGCTGAATGGAAGAGCCACTCATGGTACCTTCTTTTCTAGATTCTGCTCTCCTTCGTGCCACTCTTGGGGATCACAGTGGTTTGTTCTGTAATGCAGAGAGTGGAGGGGGAATAAGATGTCAGCTAGAGAAGGCAGTGATGTCTTTGAGCACTGAATATGGATTTCACTGTGGTAGGTCCATGTGAGGATGCCAGAGTATAGTAGAACAACAGTAAACAGTCACTGCCTACTTTTTTTCCCCCCCTAAGCATTATTTGGAGCATACTTCAGATGCTCTTCTCATCACAAGGCACTGGAATAAATTTTCATTTCTTGTTTTTTGGGGGTTTTTTTGTTCATTTCATGACAGTTATGTCAGTTGCTTTCGCTGGTTCCCATCATTTGGATCAAGGGATCAAAGTACTTGCATCCTCCGGGAAAAGTATAAATAAAAAGAATTAAAATATTCTTAGAAAATAATCTGGTCATACTGGGAATCATTTGCTAACTTAGCTTTTCCAAGGAAACTAAGTGAAAAAAAGCTGGTGGTGCCAACTCAGCCTTCTGAGTGACTCTGAAATAGGGCTTTAGACTGAAGTAAATTATTCTTAGCAAAACAAAATTACTTCAGGAATAGTAGATGTATTATAAGTGTGGTGTATTACATAGAGTTCAGCTCTTTCAGGAGGTCACAGTATTAAGAATACAACTTTCTTAGTATATTTTAGGAAGTGCAACATCTTTACCATGATCTGGGTAAAATTCATATGGCTTGTAGTTGGGTGAGATGGAGATGCCTTAACTGTATTGACACCATTGTAGGGAAACCCTGGCAACTAATAAGTGTGGCACTTCTGTTGTTGCATTTTAACCTTCTTTTTTTTTTTTTTTTTCCTTAGAATTAATTTTAACTCAAAGTTTCTTGTTTAGATAATAGAAATCTCAGCTTTCTCCATTACCAGCATTTCCTGCTTTTCATTCTGTTAAATGTTCAACGCCGTAACACCAACTAAATCTACTGTAAATTAAGCATAAGGAAATGTTTAATCTTTCTGTAAACTCTGAGTGATATACCAGTGGTTTCTCTTTTTCTTTGAATTAGATGGAGAGCAGAAGACTCAAGTGATGATTCATGGAATTGAGCCAATGCTGGAAACACCCATACAGTGGCTAAGCGAACATATGAGCTATCCAGATAATTTCCTCCACATTAGTGTCATTCCCCGACCTACTGATTGAAACTCAGCTCTCCTGGTATGAGGATCATTCTCCAGCTGGAATGAGAAGGGCATGTCAGCTTCTTGCTCCTGCCAGTCTTGACGGAGGCAGCCTGACCAGCAAAAAAAAACACCCCAAAACAACAAACCCAACAGAAAACTGAAACAAAACGAGAAGTCCTCAGTGCTGCAAGCCAAACAGGAAGAAGAGATCCTATCACCAGATAAGGGCAATGGGGCTGATCTTATTTTGCATCACTGCTGCTTTTCTTCACTGCTGTAATTAAATCAGTCGCGATATGAAAGAAATTTACAGGCCCTCTGCACCTGTTTTCTTGTAAAATAGAATGAAGCTGAAACTGCCGGGCCCGAGAGCAAGTGGAAATGTGCCACTGGGTTGTATTTCTGATTAACAAATAAACAGGGCTGTTTCCTAGAGCAGTGGCATTTCAACTTGGGGAGTGGAAACCTTGGTTTAATTTTCTAGAAAGTTAGACCCCGAGAGATCCAGTTACCAATAGCTTTTTGTAACAGATCAGATTACTGTAAACCCATCTTTCCTTAACCAGAACTTCATGTTTACAGTATGTGTATTGGTATGCAAATGATCTCTTAACTTTGATAACAAGCAGTGAGGGATTTTAAAGTAAACCCGTGAGCTTGTTTTGTCATCTAAAAACATGCACAACTTAATAATTTAGGAATACTTTTCATTTGTGTGCTGTCACTGAATACTCCAGGATGTTTATTATTCAAACCAGTTTTCATAGACTAGCAACGGTGTCAGATAATTTGTCTCAGGATTTGTCATGGCATTTCTTTTGTGCTCATCTAGATCTTTTTTTTCCCCCCTGTAAGAATATTTTCTTAATTTAGTTTTAAAAGTTTTACAAAAAAAAAAAGAAAAAAGTAAACGGATGTTGCAAATGATTGTATCCTGCTGTTTATTCCCATAGACTAGAAAACAGTTAAATCATAGAATGATGAACAGATGTATTGCTTTTTAATAACTGACTTTTGGAAAGCTGAGGCTTTTCCAAGCTTCTTTACATCTGAGCTTAGTTTTCTGCTGTGGTCCCCAGCAATCAGTCTGAAATTTGCACAGATTCTCCCTTAGTTTAGCAGATGTACTTTTAGGTTATTGGATCACTTTTGGTTCTAGATGTTTGTTGCCATTGCATCTGCTCCTAGGACTCTGCCATTTGGTTTTTTGTATTTTGCTGAATCAATCACACTGTGTGCTTTGTCTGCAGTTTGTGGCACAAGACTCTCTTTTTGGTAAACGTATTATCAAATATGCCAAATATTAGCAAATATAAAGAAAGCATGACATTCTTCTTTCAAAAACAGTAGCTGTTGAAGTTTCTACTCAGTCTTAGCTTGCAGATATCCCAGTAACTGTGCTGTTCCCATATGTTTCCATGCTCCCTAATGGTGGGATACTTACCCGTGTCTGCAAAAAAACAATATGAAGATCAATCAAACAAACAAAGACCTCTTAAAGAAGCAAGAGGGGAAAGATCTCCTTGGGTGAGAACAGGATTGAAGATAAAAAAAAAAAGCCCTGTGGGCACACAAACTCAGTAGACAAAATAGTGGTTTAAATGTAAATTAGGAAATAGCATTAAGTAAATGGGAGGGAAAAGATAATAGTGAAGGAAACTTGTGCTGTATTCTGCTGGTCATGAAGAATTTTTAAAAACAAACCCTGCTGATGTGTGTTTATGGAGAATTGAAATACAATATTCTAAGAGAGGGATGATTTGGTTGGGTTATTCTAATTTCCAGTTCTGTTTGGGATTTTTGTCACAGCATTGGATTGGCAGTTATAAACTTTCTTAGGCAGACCCATCTAAATATTCTGGAGAATTTCAAAGTCCTGCCAATGGGTAAAGCAAATATTTTGTAGAGTCTTCATATTTAAAAGAAAAAAAGTCTTTTGTAGGGGTAATTTTTCCATTAGTCAGGGTAAGAGGCAGTGTATTTAAAATCTGGTAAAGATTGTGTTTCCTTTCTTTTAAGGTAAACTGGAGTAAGTCACTGGCTATTTTAATATATTCTGCACCAGCAGTCAAAGTATACAGCTCTCTCCTCATGGCCCATATTTGCTAGTAAATCCAACTTGAAGGCCTAGCATGGAACAAAGATACATCTTGGCTTTAAAACATACTCTTCTCTTATTTTAACTATTTAAACTTTATTAAAAAATAAAAAAAAGTTTGAGTCTGTCTTTATTTCCAGCTAAATGAGGATCTTTGTCATGGAGTGACAAAAGCATTTAATTAATGTTTAATAAATAGGAGCTTCTTAAGGAGCTGGTTGGATTATGTATCTAAACACAAGCTCATCATCACAAAAATGAAGTGGCATCTTTGCTTTATCTGATTAAGATCACATTTTTGTAGTTTCTTTTACTTAGTGTGTGAACAGCAACAGCAACTGAAGGTGTATTGTGGCTTAATTAAATGCTTCACTTAGAACTGCTGTAACTTCTGGAAAAGAAACTAGATTTGGTCTAAATTGGTCAGAGTCTAATATAATACTCCCTAAATGAGTTTCAATGCTGAGGAAAGTGCCAGATACGTGCACACCCATTCCTGTGCTTTTAGAATTCAAGTTTAAAACAGAGTAAAACCCAGAGATTGTTGCTCTCCTCACTGTATTTAATGTTGTTTGGCAATGGCTGCCTCCATTTTTGAGTTTTTGCTGAAGAAAGTGAATTTTCCAGTGATTTCTTTGAGACCACTGTTACTCAGCCCACTGTCAGGCAGCACACAAGGTGATGCCTTTTTACATTGCCATGAATTCTTTGGGGAAAATAAACAGGAGCATTCTAAATGAATTAACTTGGTGCTGGTAAAAAAGTTGAGTGGCATTGCCACTGGATGTGAGCTTGACATCTGAAGGCCTCGTAACCCTGGAGAATGGGAAAAGGTGTTGGTGTGAATACACAGGAGTGGGCACAGGGCCTAAGGAGAAGGATTTCTGCTGGGAAATGAGGAGAGCTCATCCAGTGATGATGGCTGCTAAAGTTCCCATAATCCTGGCTTCCCATGAGGTAAAGAACATTCAGAAAAGGATGGGGGGGGGGAATTGCTTGTCTTCAGGGGCAGCAGTTCTCAAATGGAATATTGTGGATGGGTCTGAAGGACTCTGTGTGGAAAGGAGAGATTCGTGCTGGAATAGGGATTGTGCTGCCTTAGTGGCAGAAAGGCAGGTACTGCTGGGAAGATGTTTTGGTGGGATACTGGAAATCTTGCAGGAATGTGAAGAAATCTTCAATCAAGGACAGATGAGGCAGAGGAATGTACTGCATGAACAAAGTATGCAAAGGGCAACTATTGAGCTATTTCAAACCAAGTTACTTCTCCAGTAAGAGTTGGGAGCTGTGGAGCTATGGCACTGATGGTAGCAGATGTTTTTTCAGTTTTGATATTTAGGAAGGTCAGCATCTTGGCTGCAGAAGTGTATTAGCACACTCTTAGAAGACTTCTGTGGCTAAAAAATGACTATTCACTTAAGGAAAGTGAATTCACTAAGCAAATTTTGCAGCTTGCCAGTGATAATTCACAAATCAAGGGACTGGACAAAAAAAAGGATAAATTCATCCCTGTCAGGGATACTTTCCATATTGAACACTTCTGCATGAAATGATTTTTAACTCCCCAAAGAACCTAGATGTTAAGTTTGCTTGCAAATTTAGCAGTAGCTTGCACAATGTATTTCTTTATATGCTACCATATGTAGATGTTAAAACTGATTATGTGCTTGTGTAAGTCTAATATTAATATTCATTATTATGCCAGAAAGTGAACTGTGTTAGTGATTATGAGGGCTCCCGTGGGTGCTGTTGTTCTGGTGCTGCAAATGGATGAAATACAGAGACTGAGTGGATCTCTGGCAAGTGCTACCACTTTCTGCAACTTCAGCCTTCCAGCAGGAACAAAATTGCTCTGTCATTACTGAGAAAACGTTGTTATTTTCTTGACATGACAAAAGTGCATTTCAGGGGAAAATATTTCTCTCCTCAAAATACTTCTCAATCAAAATTTATGGCTGTCTCAGGGTATTAAGGCTTCTGGAAAGTGACTTTAGCCATTGTTTTAAGCAGTCCTTGTTTATTTGGACAGCAAAGAGATTGCTGAGGTGATTTTTTTTTTCTTTCCTTAGGATGAGAAAGAGGTTCTTAGAATATCACCTCATATGTATAATGGATTTCTGAATTAAAGCAGGTGGGTGTCTATTCTGCATTAAAGCTTCTGGTTTTGAGACAGGGATGGTGACATTTCAAAATGTCACACTAAACCTGAGTAATATCTCTTTTAGAGAGGTAAAAAGATGTGAAGTTTCAAACGTCAGAAGTAGATTTCAGATATCTGTACTTTCAAGTTATACTATCAAATTAGCTTGTGGAAGAAAAGTTTAAAATGAGAGAGATATTTTCTTTTCTTCCCTTGCCTTTCATGTCTCCACAGTCCAAGTAATTAAGTTCTTTTAACTATGAGATGAAACACCAGTTTCTCTAAATAGATTAAAGACCACAAAAGAATGCAAAACTTCTTTCAAATGCACCTTTGCAAACAGGTACATGAAGAAGAGTTTTGTGTAGTTCAGGTTTTTATATGTATAAAATAACCTGGTAATTATAGGAAGTTTAAAGGTATGGTTTTCCACACGTTTTTAGTAGTATTTATATGGATAAAAACACTTAGGGTAGAAAGACAGGGAGTGAAACACTTTGTTAGGATTGGAGGAGCTTGACTTTACTAGACCTGAAACTGCCAAAATGTGTCAGATTTTAAAGTAGCACTTTCCAGTGCAGATGTTTAAAGCCTGAATTCTTGCATAATTTCACTAATATAGGTCAACAGATACAGAAAAATGAATAAGTTGTGGGAACAAATCTAGTTATTAATACACATATTCTCATCTTGGCATTGGCAGTAGTTGTGAGTGTTGTGCAGTGGAAAGGGCAAAGCGGGTACGTGACAGAGGGTGCATCTGCCAGAACCTTGCTAGACTTTGTCAAATGCATTTTGCAAGTCCACATGCATGTCTTCAAAGCTACCAGAAGTTGGTCCTCAGTCAAAGAGAAGTGGGCTGTGGTGAGGGTAAAAAAAAAATATATATAAAAAAATAATAATAAATAAATAAATAAATAAACATATAGTGTTTGCACTAAGCCTCTCCCTTCAGTGATTGCCTTGCAGGGAAAGGTGTGTGGAGAGGGAGCACATGTGAAAGTAGGTGATACCTCTTCATACAGATACATATGTAATTTATCCTATCTTGAGATTTTGTTGCTTAGGGCCAGGAGTGTCCCTACTGCCATAAAACAGACCATTTAATAATTCCAGCTAGACAGAGCCGCTCGGGAGTGTTTCACTGCTACAGAACTGAAGATGGGAATGGAAATTATCTGGCTGAAACTTGCACCTTACATGCTCTTCGAGCCATAATTAAAATAATCTGCACTTCAGAGGTTTGATTTCCAGCAGTCATATGTACACACACCCTGACTGGGTTTTTGTCCCACATTTTGAAATTAGCAAATTAATCTGGTCTTCCTCAATTTATCCAAGTCCATACCAGGCAAACGGAAGGCAGAGTTTCCACCATGACCCAGGCAGACTGAGGCAGCTCGTGCACTATTTCCACTCCTTCAATTTTACCATACAACTTCTGTCCCCTCCTTGCAAGCTCTTCTTTAATTTGCAGCCTCTCCTTTTTTTTTTTTTTAGCTGAGCCCTGAGCTCAGCTGGGTGTGCAGGAGGTGGAACCCGCCTTTCTCTCCCCTGCAGGCTGGCCATGGGTGGCTTTTGGGTGAGTGTGACCAACCCCAGCTCTAGAGCTCCACAGGGACCCTCCTGGCACAGCTTCTCCTTCCACATCTGAAGCGTGAGTTTGTTTCTGTCACCACAAACCGG